GATTAAGAGCACTTTCACATCTGGCTGTTTGAAATACGCATCATGTGATGCATTTTTACTCCTCTAAAGTTAGCTTTACGTAATTTTTAAACATGCATGAACTAAAAAAATATTTATTAATAGAATTTATTYCATGCTAATGTTATTTGTCCTTAGGCTGCTCCTGTCTGCAGGGTTCACCATAATCAGGAACTTYACACAAGAAATTTGCAGATTGTTTGACACCGAATGTCCTCTTGAGCTCAAACCAGATTTATGAGACCAGGCTRCCACAGCCCCCGATTATGAAACCATAACACTTTAAAACTGAAATAGGGTGTACCTTTTGATTATTAAGGGAGCAAAACCAACAAGAATGGTCTTCTAAACGTTATTTGACATCATCAAGCCTTTTAGTGCCTTTCATTAATTTAAAAGTTAAAATTTTGCATTTCTCTTTTGTAAATATAACAAATATTTCATTTTTCTTTTTAAGGGTAGCACCTCCTCATGCTGTCCTTTCATGATGATGATCCTTGCTCTGTGCAGGGGTCTATGGCTGCATGACCTGGGGGTCCCTGTTCTCCTATGTTTGYTTATGTTCTGTCTTGTGAACAGGTGTTCTGAACTGAAATTTCCCCTTGGGATCAATAAAATATCATCATTCATTCATAAATGAGACTATTGGTCTGAATAAAAGCAGGTAAAAATAAATTATTCAGGTTGAAGAATACGATTAGAAAACAAAACRTATTTTAGCTTTCAAGCGCAAATAAAACAGCTACAGCTTCGACAGACATTCAAATTTAGATTTTGTTTACTTTTATGTTAAATTTCTGTCATTTTCTCTTGACCAGAAACTGATTTGCCTTTAGGGGGGTACAGAATGAGTCCAAACCCCAAAAAATTCAAAGCTCTGACTTCTAGGATCRTAAAAACCAATCAAAGAGGATCAAAGAGCGTCCCACACACGATGACTAAATCAGTGGAACCAACTTGCGTACACACACTTATTCTTATTTATGACAGGTCAGTGACTCCTCCTCCGGCTTTACTGAGGAAGTGCGTTTGCTGTTCACTTACTCCATGGAAGCTATTTTCTGAGCCAGGCTCGCAATCACAGCAAACAGCCTGAGGTCCACGAGTCCATCTGTCACTCTGAAGTCCACCATCTCTAAGATCTTAAAAAAAGTGCTTGTGTTACAGCAGCGRGTGTGTGGACGTGTGTTGGTATGTGTGCGTTTCAGATCTACCCTGTAGACGTAGATCTCTTCTTCATCAGACAGCAGCTCAGAGGGAATGATGGTCTTCAGAGCCAGGAGAACCTGCAGGCAGGAGAGGTAGCCGTCCCTGTCGCTGTCCTCCTGCAAACAAGTGCCACCACGTCCACACAGGACATTTTATTTGAAAGATTTTCAACTAAACAATCATAAATATAACATTTCTCACAATTGACTTTTTAACTCTTGAAACACATCTATTCAATTTGAAAAGAGTTGAATGTATTTTTGATCAAGAACATCAAAAATGTTAAGTTCCAGCTTTTCACACATTAATATTTATATATTTTTTGTGTTGCCCATGATTGTAAACTCCTTAAGTTGAAATTTGGGAAGAAAAGCTTTTTCAAAAGTTTAAATCTCGGCGAAGAATCGGCTTCTTTTGGACGGGCAGTGCAGCGTTTAACAGAGAGTGAAACAGAATCTCCTGAAAAGAAAGAGAACATAAAGGGCTTTAAATCCCTTTTCACTCACCGCTTCAAAAGCCCTTTTGTACTCGGCCAGCTTCTCCTGACTGAAAATGCAATACTTTGCCAAAAAGTCGACTGGAAAGACAATTAAAAAAAAAGAGAAGACATATTGAGGAAAACATCAGAATGGTACARAGTAATGTGTGATGAGCTGAAAACATGTCTTATCACATTAAAATGAGAACATTTAGATTTATAGCAGCAACAGTTTGTGTGTGTGTGTGTGTATGTGTGTGTGTGTGTCTAGGTATGGGTATGTTCATATATTTAGATAGGTATACCTTTCAGCAAGGTTATAATCATTATAATTATATAGATTTGCCTTTTTGTTGCTGTGTTTTTGTTATCTGTTTCTGTAGGTGTACAGCCAAGATGTCGGGTGTGTTGTCTTGTGTTTTCTTGATGTATATTTCACATATCTTCTAATCTCTCTTTCACCCTTTCCCATTAAATTTCACGTTTTTCTTCTATAAAAAAATTCACTGATGATGAAGAAACTAAGAAACTAATATTCAGTTCTGCTTTCTAATGAAGTGGCTAAAAAGTTTTTATATTGGGAGGTATTTTCAAGGTACACCATTGTGTTGGTCTGCTTAGAGATGTTGTCTACCATCAGAGATTATAATACAAGTCGCCACTGCAACACGTTGCACAAAGCTAAATATGAGACATGTACTGAAGTTGCAATTATAAACAACTTGTTACCAGAACCACACAGGAGTCTGAACTCCAGGTTCCTTATGTTGTTACATGACACAAGACGTTTGATATCTATAGTATTAAATTTGAGTACAGTTGGTAAAAATGCATTTGAGAATGAACTATGTTAAGTTACTGCACTAAATGTTGGTTTAAAAAAACACTCATAAATGGCAGCTTTATTACATTTGGGTAAGTCTGCCTAACTATGTGGCCCTCTGGAAGTGTTAAAAAATTGTGGCCCTTTTCATTAATTATGAATCTCTCATTTGAATGATGCCCAGGTTAGTATTTCTCAGGTTCTCCTGAAACAAAAACAACAAATATCACTTGTCAAATAAAGAGAAAAAGTGTAGATTTTCATTAAAAACATCGTGTGTTTAGCTCCGTTACTGATAAACRATGATCTTATGGTTCAAAACTATTTAACTCATTCTAACTGGATGGTAAATGTGTACTACTAGTGTTTTTCTCCCCTCTCACCTGGTAATACTTTACTGTACTAAAAGTTTCATTAAATTCTCCAAACATCTTTTATCCCTTATTTGTACTTGCATTTGAAGATAATAAACATTTGAATGCACAGGTAACAAGTATTAAATTGCCGTCCTGCAATGCATTACTTAATAAAAAGCAAAATGAATAACTTCATGTTAACTGTTTTGTGAATAATATACATATTTTTATATTTTTTTATTTTTATATTTTACCATGAACAGATCAAATGTAACCATTTTCCTATTTACTCATTTTAACGACACGTTTTCATATTCAAGTGCATTAAGTTTAAAAATTAAAAACAGAAATCACAGAACCGAGCCATGAATATTTCAGTAGATACATCTGTGAAGAAAGGACAACTTCGCAGAAAAAAGAAAACAGSCCTTTTAAGCTGCTGCCACTTCAATTTAGGAGATGAGAATGAGTCGAATGAATAATGGATCTATTCATGGGTTTGTTGAAGAAAGAGGAGCAACAGAGTTGATATCAGTCTGGACTTAAACCTCTGGACCTCTGGGGTTTCTCTGCAGAAGCGGGGGGCGGGGTGGGGGGGCTGTTTGAATCTGCCATTTATCAGCTTAGGCCTAATCAAAACCAGGCCTCACCCTTTCACATGCTAAATGTTACATTCGAAGCAAGTCAACTTGACTTGTTAAAGCTTGATTGATCAAAACAACCTGCAGGCTGCATCTGTTTGCAAATGTCCTGAGGAGGAAGAAGAAGGCTGCGGGATGGGACACACATGCAGCCGCAATCAGGCTATAAATACATTTTAATCCATAATTACTGCAGCCTGATGTCTTTAAATTTAAAAGAATTGTGACATAATCAGCAACCAATAAGAAGGACTTGTTACATGACTGAATGCTGAATTTTATGCTTTATAAAACAAGTTTTAAATAATAAAAAATAATGCAGGCCATTGAACATTGGGATACTAATTTTGCATTAAAAAACTGGCTTTAATTGTTGGAGTCCACCAGTGGCGGCTAGTGGATTTTTCTCCAGTGGGGGCCACAACTCCAACATAGGCTCATCTCCAAAAGCAATCAAACATGTGCTAAGTTGCATCACGACAGTGTATTTATTAAACAAATGAAAATAATAAAACCGCATTACAATGTCATGTAGTGTTTTATTTTTTGGACATAAATTTTGCTCTTCTGTAACTGAGAAGCAAATTTCTTCATGACTCTGGTTAAAGTCAGGAATGTTTTAACCAGACTCTTCTCCATAGAGCATGGTCAGTGCAGTGAGTTGTGATGTTGTACCTGAGGAAAGTCTGGATTGTCTTCAGTGTTGAGAAGCTCCTCTCAGATTCAGCTGTGGTCAGAGGAGATGTGATGAGAATCTTCAGCAGAGTCACAGTCTCTGAAGGTGCCATGGTCTTCAGTGCTGCTTCAGAGAACTGTCACGCAGGAACCTGTCAGCCTGCAGCAGTGTAGCTCTGATCAGATGCTTAGTGAATGGCTCAAGATGGTGTCACAAACCTAAAACAATAAATGCACACATTTAATTCAATATGGAGATGGCTACAAGTGAACTTTCTAATCTATATTTAATATATAGAGAACAATTAACATTATTTTAATAGCAAAAAATTGTTGCACCTCTAAGGTAAACTATTATTTATATTTTTATTTTAAAAATATATTCATTTTATTAAAAAACAAAATGAACTATGCACAACAGAAAAGAAATATAAATAAAATGAAAGGCAGCAGAAAGAAGAAAAATATCGTCTAATATCTGCCCCTTTTCAAGAATAAATTCAAACAATAGTAATTAAAAAAAAAAAAAAAAMWMWAMACAAACAACATAAAAATATCTATATATTATATTAAGTTGTGTTCACCATAATTTATATTTCGGTATATGCTGCTCAACTATAAAGGGAACATCAACACAATCTAACTACACCACAYTCTTGCTCAATTTTTATTATGTCTGGCTTATCCAGTCCTAGCTACTTCACTTTTACGTTTCTCCTCATATATTCTGCTTTAAAAATGTTTAGCTATAAGGGACTTACAGTGTTGTTTTTCTCCTCCATTTTCTCGACTGGTTTCGTCTCCAAAATCCGCCTCTGCCATTATACTAATACGACGTCGTTGAGTCGTCGACACAGGGTGAACCCACTACGTACCGCTTTGTGTTCGCAGGTCAGCTGCGAACACAGACCACTCTATACTTTTGCATTGGGGACTTACTGCGCATGTCCAAAATCTTACAATGACTTGTCTATGGGAATCTGTAGCGCCGAACCTAGCGTGACCCGGAAGTGACTCACACGAAGACGTTCATGAGTAAAATAGAAGTTTACACATCAATAACTATAAATTACTTATTTTGCTTATCAGAAAACATATAAACGATATATTTTTGAAACATTTATAACATTTTCTTTTGTTATTTTATTTTATTTTATTTTTGTGTACCAAAAATAAAGGGGGGGAGGGCGCGAACATGCGCCCCCTATTGACTAGCCGCCACTGGAGTTAACCCAGTTCAAGATGGCCGCCACAGCTGAAAAATGACTACACCTCAGCAAATTTTACAGATGTTCGTGTTGAAGGAACTAAACATGTTTTCCCCTTAAAGCTTTGCCATTATCAGTTGGTGTCAACCCTGTCTGTCTGTTAGCAAAATATATCATAAACCAGTGGATTAAGTTGATTATACATCAATCCAACTGGTTAATGGCCACTACATTTAATCATCCACAGCAAAAATGGTTAAAACTCAGTCAATTTTACAGATACTGAACTACAATTTGGTGTGGTAGTCGCTGAGAATTGCCCTCATCACATACCCTGAGAGCTAAAGACTTATTGAAGCACCCTGTATGCTTCATTCGAACAGCCCAGATTGGCTCTTGTCCCAGTTCCCTTCTTGTCACAAGGCCCGGTGCCAAACTTTCCACCTCCCTATGCACAAGAACTTATTGTGTGATTGGTCCGAAGTTTGTGTGCGTTTGTTTAGCGCCCAGACGCTGCTTCAGCTACTCACTTCCAGAATACGACTGTGAAAGATAAAAAAATGGCCAAAAACTCTTGGATGAAAGAAGCAAAAGACGTTTTGCATGGAGGAATCTGTCTGTCAAAAAGTGTGGCGCATTAACTGTGACAGATTTGTGGCTCAAAATATAATCAGAGTGGAGACTGAGCTAAGATTCCAGAAGGAACCCCATGTAGCGACACGTACCGCAGCGAGAGGKGTTTCCCAGGAGCTTCCCAGGAGCTCGGCGCTGCGTGTCGCATGAAAGGTGAGTGCAAAATCGAACTTCGAACAACTATGTGACCGTGCGCTGACTGTCCACCTTTGGATGGAGCATACTGGGYCCTTTATATTTCCATCCTCATGTCTTTCGGGACAAAAACTGCGTAGCTTCCATCATTACTTCCTGCTGACACCCTATCATTGACTCCAGTCAGAAATCTTCAACGAGCAGCAGGAAAATGTACAACCAACTCTTCTTTCCATCTCCATGGTTAATAATAATAATAAAAAAATTCCCAAGAACTCCCCCACCCAAAAACAACTATCCATCCTGCTGTCACTGTTTATGTGCTATGTGTGCTACATCGGGAGAAGGTATGTTGATTTATCACTCCCTCCGTCTTCTGACTATAAACTCGTCATAAGAAAAGGACATCAGAAATGACAAAATCCCTTGTTGAAGTATAAACCAGGCTTCACATCTTGCGAGAACTGGAAGTTTTGCATGATGTTGCCTATAACGTCTTTCACAATATTAGGCCTACCTAACCCTAACCCTACCTAAAACAACTGTTTCTGTCACCTCTCCACAGACTGTGATGTTTGAAACTCTGGCAAAAAAGATTGCGGGCGATCTGCATTCTTTCAAAGAACAT